ATATATAACAATGTTGGGCTTCTAAAATATCTATTCGATCAGATAAATGTATTTAGCTTCTGGTAGTCTGTAAAATTTGCCCCTAAATGGGCTTCGATGTTTTGTTGTTTTATTTGGGGTTTTTTAACAGTAAGGATAAAACAACTTACAATTAAATGCAGATTATGTTGAGGGCTGTACAATGTTGTTAATAAAATATCAAATGCCTAATTCAGTTTTTAAAGTATCCGTCATTTTTTTTAAAACGAATATGTGAATAAATAGGGGATATGTGATAAATACATAACCACATAAGTATATTGTTCCGTGTCTGGAGAAAGAACTCATTAGATACGGCCTCAACATTCCTACGCCGTGTAAATCTCGTTCTTTTCAGCTAGGAACAAAACATATATATGTAGTTTGTCTATGTATAGTATGTTTGAAGTATGATTAATTATCACACATATAGTGACATTGAACTTACAAATGGAATCTCAATTTGACTCATCGTATAGTGAGGATACATAGAGACTTTGGGTTACAAGCAATGTTAGTAGCGTCCAGAAAACTCGAAGTAACGGCTTTCCTCTCAACCCCAGCACTTTGTGATTACAGCCGTGGATTAAATGAGGTCTGTATCATGAAATGGCTCAACCTCTGCACCATTATTTGGGAACATTATAGTCGGTAACAAGACCCAATTACATTTTATTTCATTATACCAAGATAGTTTTATAAGCGTAATTTTGTGACATGTGAAATTACTCAAAGGAGTGAAGGACAATAATGATTGTATCCACAATGAGACGAATTATTCTAACATTTACGAATTTGTATAAATAGTCTTAAAACCAACCAGTTACACCGTTAGAACCCGTCGTAAGAATATTGTCATATTGTCTAATTGTTCAAACAAGCATAATTTTTATTAAATAACGTAGTTGGAAAAGTTCATGTAAAATAAGGCGCTCAGAAAAGTATCTACAAGTAGTGTTTTAAAATAATATTATATAAATTATTTATCTAATCATGTAGATTACTCTACAGGTATAATACCTAAAGATGATGCCGTTATGGAACTCAGAAACTGCAAATAAAAGTTCCGTGTGGTATATTATGACTTTGAAAGTATCATGAAACCGGTATTGCTTGCACTTATAAATTATTTGTAAGTCTGGATTTTAGTTGAAAATAATTAAATCCACACGTAGTAGATATTATTCTTGAAAAGTCTTTTGACAAGTTAAAGATCAAATGAACACTTTGAGAGTTTTTTTCAACATGAAGACTTCCAGGTTCCGAAAAAAACCTTTCGAATGTAAATGTCCTCTTGCAGTTTACCATATAATTGAATACAATCTGGTTCCATCTAACTTGAAACAATGTTTCATTCTCAAAGCACTCAAGGATTGCTTACCCCTTTCTAGCTCAATGTTATATTTATAAAGTTTCCGATTTATTGATCAATTCTGGCGATAAATCCAATACTGTTTATACAAAAATCCGTATTCGGTTACAGTTCTATGTTTTAGTCTATTTAAAGTTTCCTTTTCGCAAATCATGCAAACCTTTGCTGATACACCAGAATGCTGCCATGTGTTTGCAAGCAAGTTAGCCTTCAGACTTCGAAATATTGGAATGTGTACAAGCAAATTTGCCTTTAGATTTCGGAATGCTACACTGTGTGTTTAAGCATTTTTGCCTTAACATTTCAGAATAATACACTGTGTGAAAGCAAGTTTGCCTTCAGTCTTCAAAATGCTACACTGTGCGCAGACTTCAAAATGATGGACTGTGAGGGCAAGTAAGTTTGCATTTAGACTCCAGAATGATGAACTGTGTAAGCAAGTTTGCCTATAAACTTAACAAGATTTTTCATTTGAAATTAGAATCAGGATTGAACGACTGTCAGCACATGGATTTGGAGTGTGTACGGTATTTTTTGCAAGCAAAGGAATGCTTTTTACCTAATCTAGACCATGGCGACGTTTTCTTAAGAGACTTATTTGGATGTGAGTTGTGAACTTTTCTTGTCTTTTTTATTGTTTCCTATAATTTATGGTTTATTCAATTGAAGTTGATATACAAATGTACAGGCGTATGTGTAATTAAAGCCTGGCATCCGATGAAGCATATTTACTGTCTACAGACATCATTGCAGTAGCATATAACATGTAACATAATAATCAGTTTTTTTCTTTGTGAGGCTTTTTATGAAACAATCAAGGAGACAGAAATAGCGAATAAGAAAAAAACAAGCAGAAAATTTAAACGTATTCATGACGACTATCACATGAAAAGTAGAGCCTAACACTGTTCATGGGGACATTAACCTTGATGTCAGTGGGTGGTACAAGTTGTAGAAAAATAAAAAATGAGAAAAATAGAGCTCATTACTTAGCCCAACACACCTCAGCCGAACAACATGAGAAAGGATGGTTTGATGGCTGCTTATGGCAAACAAGAAGCTACCCAGCAGACTTTCAAAGTAAATTTATTATTATTATTATTAATATTATTATGAAAATTATTATTATTATTATTATTATTATTATTATTATTATTATTATTATTATTACTGCTGCTGCTCTTGTAAACACCATCAGAATTATTGTTATTGGTAGTAGCGATGGTAGTAGTAGCAGCAGTGGTTATGGAAGTGGTAATGACAGCAGGAGAAGCATTTCCTTTGTACGTGTCCACTAACACGCTTAGGATACTACTCTAGGTATGTGTGTCAGTATCTGACTTATAATCTTTTAACATCATCGTCACATACAACTCCTCCGCATTCCCCTCCTCCTCCTCCTCCTACCACTACTACAACTACGTTTTCTACAACTGCCATGTATTATAATAGGACTCTATGATATTAAGCTACGTAACAAGAAACAAGCGAATGCAACAATTCTAATAAAATGAAGAAATAATTCATTTCCCTAGAGTACACATTGAAAATTCAAAGGACACTTACAGTATCATTATACTAAAACCAAAATATTCTTAAATGTCCTTTCACAAGTCCAAAAGTATAGAATGCTACAAATGAGTTCCAGAAGTTCCGAATGTCTTGATTTATCCAAATGTTATATTCCAGTACGACTTTGAATGGGTTCACAATGATACCAAAGTAATGTTTTATCGAAAGATACAATGAATACTTTGTATTTCCAATAAATAATTTAAATAAATATGTTAGAAATATACCTGAAACACAACCACAAACTCTGATCATAGATTCCCAAAGACAATTAACGAAGAATGGATACTGTCTCTGCAATGCAATATTATTTTCTAAGGAACATATCAAGTCTTGAACTTAAATTCAAGGAACCATCTTGTTACTTTTTAAATTTTTGAGAAAAAAATCAAGTAGGCACTAATAACAATCATAAACAGAAATTAATCACACACAACATAATACTTCCCCTCATAAAGTAAAAGAAAGATTGATAAAACAAAGCTTTCTTTGACATCTTGGGCAAATATGCAAATACCACTACAATAATTAAAAATGCATATGAATATGTACCAATGGAATAAATTCTACTCAAAGCAATAAAGTAATTTTATAAACGTCAGAGTGCATCCAGAATCAGGTTATATTTTCCCTGAATGTACCAAAATGTCAATCTGGTATGCATGCAATCAGGACCGGCCTCGAGGCAATGCGAGCAAGGCGGTCGATTTTTTTCCCCCTGCAATCGTGGCCGCAAGCTCCAATTGACCAAAGAAATAGGCGTACTACAGTAACTCCACCCCGCTGCCAGAGTGGCGCCTTAGACCTCGCAAACATCTATCTCTAAAATGCCACGTGATACTGCTCAAGAATATTTTGGTGGCACTCTACAGTTTCGTATTTAGCATGGGGTTAGAAGTTTAAAGAAAACAAATTTCCTCCGGTTTCCTCTATAGTTTCACTGGCTATTAAAAAAGACTTTGTATATCATATGTATTGTTCAAATATCCTTTAATTCCCTTTATTTTGGTGTATGGGTGTATTATGGTTTATAGAGCACACAGCTTGGCCTTACTCCAGATGTGCTCCTTTCAAAAAATGCTAGCTACACTTGCTCATTTTCACATCCCAAATATAAGAGGTAAATTGTAAAAAAAAAAGAGCCGATAACTTTCTTTACATTTTATGTATTTGGTATTTCATTCATTGCACTTTCAGAAGTTGGTATTTTCTAGTCTGGCAAAATTCATTTTCCTTATTTTAATAGCTGCCAAAGATAGTGTACCATAGACAAATTCAGGTTGATGTTTGGAGCACAAGGGAACAGTCATTTTAGTTAGCTGTGTCAGCCACATTACGTGAAAGGAGAATAGAGGTATGCCAACATTCTCTTCACTGCGCATGTTTAAATGCAAACAACTTCACCTTACATGCATCGCTCCATCAAAAGTACTTCATAACTGGTGAGCGCCACATTTACACATTGGTAAATTCTGTGGATTACTTTTGGGTCCCAATGGACTTCTAGATCAAGCTTTTTCTGTATCAGCTCTATAATAATATCAGCAAGTCAACTGCTCACCCTTTAGACTTGTGACTTAAGATCAAAACATCCAACCCGACAGACCTTTATGCAGTATAACACTCGTCTCTGTATCGAAACTAAGCAAATGATAAGCTTTACGAGAAACTCTCTGTTAATAAATTGTGGAGTTTGGTTCGACAGTGCGCTTCAGTCGGCTTCTGGGTAATACCATTGTCATTAAATGTAAGGAGCAGTGTAACTCACAAAAATTATCACTAATTTTGTTTGAAAGAATGATGTAATGTATTGTTTTTAACGTAGCTTTCAACAATTTTTCAGTCATATCTCTACGATGTCTGCAGTGTGGCAGTTTATAGTGATGTCTAGCACTGGGGCATCATGCAGCAGACATGTAGCATGATATCACACCCAGTCACATTATCTTGATACCAGGCCGACCAGTCCTAACACTAACCTCCTAATGCTGAGCGCCAAGCGAGGAAGCTGTTAGTACCAATTTTGTAAGTCTTTCGTATTACTCGACTGGGGATCAAACCCACGACCTCCCGCATCCGAGGCGGGTGCTCTAACCACTAACGGTCTGAAAGAATGAAATACGTAAAAAAGCGGTTAGTATGAATGCTAAACATGGAATGTATATTCGATATATAAATAATCCATGTCATTCACGTGAGTCATTGTGATGGATTCTGTACAGGTCTATAAATAATCCGTGTCACCCACGTGAGTCATTGTGATGGATTCTGTACATGTCTATAGATAATCCGTGTCTCCCAAGTGAGTCATTGTGATGGATTCTGTACAGGTCTATAAATAATCCGTGTCACCCACGTGAGTTATTTCGAAAGAGTTTGTACAGGTCTATGAATAATCCGTGTCACCCACATGAGTCATTGTGATGGATTCTGTTCAGATTCGTTCGTTTTGTCTAGAGAAGTTGTTGATACACTTAGTTACACATAAGCGATGCACAAAGCCGATCAACGACCTTGGTTAGCGAAGATGCTGAGACATATTTTGGCGCTATGCGAAGATAATAATGAAAGAAACTACAGGCTGTTTAAAATCAAACTTGTTAGTGAAATCCACTTATTTGACGAAGAAAGAGCGCAGATTGGAATTATACAGATTAAATGAGTATGGCTGATGTTTATCGAAGTGTACATTTATCCCAGTCTTTCATTAAGCTGGAATTAGGTCCTTTGAACTTCATAAACTTTGTGAGTGATTACGTCAAAACTTACACGTCGAAAAAAGCTAATGATAATAATATAATTACATTGAGTGTGGATATTTAAGGATTTAAAAAAAAAATTGGTCTAGCTAAACTGTAATGATTTTATATGTTGGTCTAGGTAATTGGTAATGATGTACTTACTTTGGTAAAAAGTGCAAGTTGCACAATATTTTACGAGAGTATTTTAGTTCTTTCACACTGTCTATAGCCACATGTAAAAATACGCGTGATCTGCTGTAAACAGTCCAGGTGCGTATTCGACATATTACGTGTGCCGTGCTGTACACAGTCCAGGTGCGTATTCGACGTGCTGCGCACAATCGCGACTATGACATATGTCAAATATTTCCCTGCTAGATGCCTTTTGCAGGTGGCTAACCTATGAAACGCCATATTGGTGAAAATTGATGAGAAAAAAGTAATCGATAGCAAGCAGCAGCAATCGATAGCGAAATCTTCGCTATATGATGATCTGGTAATGGTCTTGGTCACGTTCAATCCGTCTCATGCGTGACTGAGGCATTTATAAAGAGTCTGATTAAGGTCTGTACAAATCTTTGTTACCAATAGGTGTCGTTCAATTCTTTTTTTTTCTTGTTTCTTTCGACAAACACCATCCCTAAAATAACATCAACAGTACTTCTATGTATACAGAATAAATTTAAATAAATTTTAAAATGTCTTACGGGTTTAATAACTTATGGTGCCAAAACATGGTGTGCGTGCCCCTTGCATGTATTTGGCTAATTAGTCTCACAGTCTAACGATTTAGAAGATTTTCGTGCAAAAGTAAAGCAAAAGCTTTTCTCACCTTTCCATATCTTATGTCATCCGTCTAAAAATATGAAACTAAAAGAAATATATATATATATATATATATATATATATATATATATATATATATATATATATATTATATATATATATATATATATATATAATCTGTATCTGTGTGTGTGTGTGTGTGTGTGTGTGTGTGTGTGTGTGTGTGATGTAAGGTTTTATTATGAACGCTGAATAACCTGCCAACCAACAATCAGCAACTTAACCAGACATTTGGTAAACCTCGTTACAAGCGTTTGTGTATACTCTACCGGACCATAGTAATGCGAAGACATCAGTCACGTGAAAGGATTAGATAAAGGAGACTACTACAGTTCGCTTGTACCCAGCTTAAATTCGCAAGTGAACATCATAGGCCAGTAACTAGTGTCAATATCATAGGCCAGTAACTAGAGTCAATAACATAGGCCAGTAACTAGTAAATATTTATCCCGCTTACTTAGCGAAATAAATTCACACAGAAGTGACGTCATTCTCAAAACAACTGTTTTGGAAACTCTCCTCTGAAATGCAGTGATAGTATAAAGTCGCTGATTGTCTCACATGATAGCTTACTTAATAGAAACTTAAATGACATCAATGCATAATTTTTATAGATTTTAAATCACATCAAAACACAGTTTTAATAGTTTTGGGTATGTATTGAACTGACCACATACAATGTGTATCTGTAATACAAGCCTTTGTTTCTACAGACAATATGTTTGAAATCATCATGGCATTAATTCACGACTTTTATAAAAGGCGTCGTCTGCTTTTGCTTTTTGCGTTTTTCCAGTAAAGAGAAAAATATAAGAATTAAACATGAAATGAGTACACGTATCTGTAGCAAGACATTGTACACACCTTAACAAGAAGGGGCCCCGAGTGGCCTAGTGGTCTAAAGCGTTGTCCGTTACGGATCACTGCCATCTCACCTCTGTCTGCGTGGGTTCGAGTCTAGGATTCGGCGAATGTTGACATGTGAGAAAGCTTGCCAGTAGCTTCTCGTGGGTCGGTGGTTCTTTCCGGTGATTTCCCGGTTTCTTCCTCCACCATTATTACTGGCCGCCATGAATAGCCTATCGTGTGCTGAAAAATGGCGTTAAACCCAACAACAACAACAACAACAACAACCTTAACAAGACTGTTGGTATTGAACTCTGGGAGTCACGCAGTAGTGTGGCTGAACGAGACTAAGAGTGAGTGTGACAGATATAACTGGAATAAATGGAACGATTATAGTGCACAGTAGAATAATCATAGGGTAAGCCGCAGAGATCATCGAGCTAGTTGGAGAGATCACAGGCTGAGCTTGAGATGACATATGACAAGCAGAAGATGAATTGGAGTAATCGTAAGCACAAACAGAAGAGGACGAGCTGGTAAAAGCAAGTTTGAGATGGCGAACTGAAGTAATCGAGTGCGAGTGGAAAAGGGTGAGATGAGGTAATCCAGAGCGAGATAAGGTAATCCAGAGCGAGTGGGGTAGGACCAGAAATAACTCGAAAGGGAACTGAATGCAAGTAAATCCATCAACCTTTTAACAATCAATAAAAGAGCACAACGCAAAATATTGAAAGAAAATGTGACTCGCATTATGGAAAATGCATTATGACAACAAATTAAAACAAGTACATAAATTTAACAAAAGTTAGCGTCGACGTTCAAATTAAATACATTGACTATTTTATTTGATTTGGTACAGAACCACACATAGGTTGTTTAGTGTTAGGCTTCTGAATAAAGTTCAGTGCCCAGAGACACAGCTGACAAGGCTGAACTGATGGTTGGATTCGAACCGGTACCCTTTAGGTTTGGAGTCCAGTATTCTATCCATTACGCCCCATGCATGCGAAGTTGTGCATTTTTGTTCTTATACCAATTGATAGCATGTGGGTTATATTGTATGTCGCATTTCATGTTACCTTTACTTTTGTTCCGATTCATGACTGAATGGGTAGAAGTGTAACACAATGAAACTTTATGTTAATCCTCGGTTTGCATTTGTCATTTGCTATTGAGATACTAACCCCAATATTAGTACCAGTCAAATGCAAGAAAAACAGATTAGATCAGGTTTCCATGGTCTAATGCATATTTGAAATAAATTAGCCTATATGAAACACAATGAATCGATGGGTTTCAGATGGGTTAGCATACACACACGCACATACAGACACATTGATATACATAAAAACAAATTATTATTCTCTAATCGAATCAGATTATAAAGCCGTATTGTGTTATTTGAAATGTTATAGATAACATTGTGCGAAAGCCACGTAACGTAACGTTCGGGCGATTTTGTATTTTTCATTATTTTCACTTTTTTACCTATTAAATCATCGACAAAGTTATCTCTCTTTAAGTTCTCCTATTTCTTTCTCATCTTCTCGCTCATGCTCTAGATTATTCCAGCTCTTGGTCAAGTGAACTTTCCATCCCATCCCATGACCCTTCCATCCCATTCCATGACCCTTCCATCCCATCCCATGACCCTTCCATCCCATTCCATGACCCTTCCATCCCATCCCATGACCCTTCCATCCCATCCCATGACCCTTCCATCCCATCCCATGACCCTTCCATCCCATTCCATGATCTTTCCAGCTTACTATATGATCTTTCCAGACCTTTCTCTCTTGTTCCAACTTTTATCCTTGAAACTCATTTTGCAATAGTGTTTCAGCTCTCACCAGTGACATCTATGCAGTTCACCCCAACATTTCTCCATCTCGATCTCGATTACTCCGACTACTACTCAGATACTACCGCTCCTTATCGATTTCTCATATTCGCGTTCAATTACTGCCTCTCGATATAGATTACTCCAACTCGTACTCAATGCCGCTCGATATCGATTACTCCGACTCGCACTCAATTACTACAGCTCGATCTCTGCTACCTTTTCAGTTTCAATTTGGAACGATTCTCATTCCATACTAACCTGCTTCCTACAACTTTCTGCCAGCAGTATGTTAAGAATAGACTGAATCAAAATACCGTAGAACTGGTTTCAAGGGATAGTTCTGCTAGAAATGTTTCCATATTTTTGTTCAAAACCAGAAATATATCGCAGGTTGTCACAGTCTGTTTGCTATATTGTACACGTGCGTTTCAAAGGAGAAATCTGCAACGCTTTTCGTAAATTGATTACCCACAGTGTCACTGAATAAACATTTCCTTGCCAAGGACATGTTAATCATTTTTATGAATTGCAGAACTATTCTCAGGGAAAAAAAATTACTCACTGCCAAGTGTTGACTACTTCTTAGACAAATAAGCCTCTTCGTTCTGTGGCCTTTGCACCGAGGTTTGAAAAAGAAAATAGGCGATAAAACAACACAAAAAATACTTATATTTTCATTCATCCCTGTGATACGTTTTATTATTCCTCCACTACTTACATATTTTAAAGCTTTTATCGGCAAGAGTTTGTTTCAATTTGTAATGAACATTACTGTCCTTTTGATAAAATATGATACCGAGTCTGCTAAATTATGTAGTACGTTCGTCCGTCTGCTAAATTGTGTAGTACGTTC